CCAAAACTATGAGCTATCTATAAAATGACCTCATGCTCTCCTCATGTATCAATATCTTAATAGAAAAGTCAAGTAATTAAATGAAAATATAATGCTTTAACTATAAAGCAACACTTTTGACACCTCACCACAGCATGAAAATGTATAAAAGTGCTTTGAATTCACCATTCTTTCATTGGAGACAAGTAAAATCTTGAATAGCCTAGCTTAAGTCACAGCTATACACACATACATGCATATATATATATATACATACATATATATATATATATATATATATATATATACGTCCACTGGCGTATTCAGTCTTCTGGCAGCCAAAACTGTGTATTTAAGCCGCCTGCATTGCTTTTGTTTTGTCCTAAGCTAAGCCTTCGGGCGCTATAGAAAGTGTTGCATACTTTTGGGCTGCGCGTGTTTTTGTTTGCGCAATCAAATTATAAAAGTTACTTTAACACCGGATAAGCGCCATGGCAGTGGAATATATATGGGCCTCACAAATCAATAGCCGGGTCGCCTATGGCGCTTTGGCCCTTTAAAGGGCCAGGCCGAAGGCCTTTCAAAATGCTACGCCTCATTTAACTAGAAATCACATGAAAACGCGTTAAAAACACATTAAATCACACGTTATCAATTTCATGCCACTGAACGTGTGTGCGTGTGTGTGAGAGTGTGTGTCATGCAGAGCTATTGGTATCAGGTCGACAATACGTTAAAGCCGTCTAAGCCAGCTTCACAGCTACTCCGCAGCCCGAATCTTCATCGTCAACATAAACGGCTGTCAACGCCGGCAACGCATTTGAAATTTCAATTGTAACGTTTGCCTTACGCAAATCCCGTTTCATTGAGGCGTGTGCGTGTAACGAACAGCCACGCCCCCCCCCCCCCCAAAGCTTGGCCACGTGCAATAATTGCCCCATGTGGCAGCGGCGGCAAACGTTGCGTATACGCAACGTATGCTAATGTAAGCAAGCGTGAAGCGCGACGCCGAGGCGAGCATAAGTCGTGTTTTATTTATTTGTTATTGACATTTGCATATGCCTTGGGCTGCGTTCATTGTTTCTTCTTCTTCTTATTCTTCCTTTGTTCCATGTGATTAAAGTCAATTGCAGCCGCCTTGTAATCAGCACATTTAATCAGGGGTATATTTATGGCAATCGTTTAACTCAACATTGTGTAAATCTGTTTGCAAAGTTTTTGAGAAAAACAAGCTCAGATAAAAGCTCTTAAATGTGGGACGTAATTATGTTTGTCTCAGTCACGCCCCACACACACACTTCGCACTTGTGGCAAATGAATGTCAACTTTTGCTTTGCCAGCGGATTACGATTACTGCCACTGCGTGTGGGTGTGTGGGTGTTTGGATGTGTGGCTGGAGGAAGTTGTCTGCAGCAAGTCAAGTCAAGTCAAACTAATTTCGACTTATGGAGCCGTGTAGCGTAAGTCGACTCTCATGCAAAATTGAGTTTGTTATGCGGCAGGCACAAATAACACTCATTAGCCATAATGAGTTATACTCGTCGCTCGGACTACATTTAGATGACTCTTTAGCGGCCATTATGCGGATGGTGTTTTGCTTTTTATTGCTCCAGCGCAGCGAACGTTAAGTTTTCAGCTATTAATACTTGGCCAGCGGCCCACGACTGGGCGCTTTAAATAGATCCCAGCATCCGGCTGGGGTGTGGGAGGGCGCCACAAATTGTTTGACATTTGGCACTGGCATTGGCTGTCAAGCCTTTCACTTTGCCTCCTGTTATTGTCACTTGCCAACAGCAGTTTCAGTTATTTTAGCCAAAGTTTTTCGTCACAGCAGCAGGACGAACTTTTGTTGTTAATTCGCTCAAGTTTCTGGCAAGTATTTACGTGCCCCAAGACCATCCATTTGCCAGGGAATGAGACTGAGATGGCGAGACTAAGACAGTTAGAGAGAGAGAGAGAGAGAGCGCGACAGAGCCTGACGCAGACGAGCCACATAACCAGGCAGCCCGGAAAGTTTAACATGTTAATGGCATAGTTTAGGCAAATGTTTTCACTGGCGTCCCCGCATCACATGCTGTGCCCTAAGAAGATCCGTATGTTGCGTACATATTTCGTATATAGTTTGCTCTATATCTAACATTCTCGCCCTCTTACATTTTTGCGACAGAAATTAACTTTCACTCGCCACATTTAGAGCTCGGCCACATAATGTGCCATTGCCATCGCCAACGGCTACGTTAAGTGACTTTCTTATGCTGGTTGTAAAATTTCTTGCTTTATATGGAAACCCTTCAAGTGTGCGTGTGCGTGTGTGTGTAGCATACGTAAATGCCAAATATTTTCAGACTATGAAAGCCAGTAATTTAGTTGAGTACATGGCAGAGCAACGAGGACGACAACGGCCCTGGCGAAGGCCGCCAATGAATGGTAAGGAAATGGCAAGTGAGAGGGCGTCTAGGCGTTTGGGGCGTGGCATAAAAGTTTTCCGGCCAAATGCATAGTTGCGTATTTTTCGATTTGCTTGAAATTTGACAATATGCGCAAAAACTTTTCGGTTCCGTCCTACTGTCAAGGGGAAACTATTCACTCCCAGCTAAGTTGTAAATTTCTTCTTAAATATTTGCAACGTGGCCGCAGCTAATTTAATTCAAGCCGAAAGCCTTTAAAGCTGGCTCGAAATGATTGTTGTTTACCTGTTGCCAGCGATTGGGGCACGTACGAGGCGTATGTGAATAAACAACCTCATGACTAAGTTAAGCTTCATCAGGTGTAGCAGCCACTTGTAGCTGCCAAAGCAGCAGCAACTGCCACTTGCAGCAGCAGCAAGTGTATATTCCTTGGCAACAAATTGCAAATGGCCAGCAGCAAGAGCGCGGCAGCAGGAGGCGACAGCAGCAGCAGTGGCAGGCATCGTGCAGCAGAAGCTGGGCAACAAAATCTAAATAAGCAGAGCAAGCGCCGTCGGGCAGGACGTCTTCACTGCACAGGGAGTCAATGGCAGGGGCCACTTGAGCTGAATAAGTTTCAGCAAAAACTAAATAAACCGACTTGCTGGACTTTGTCGAGTTAGAGTTTGCAGAGAGACAGGGAGCGAGGGATAAAGATGCTGCCCAATGATGGTGGCAATGATGATGGTCTCGACAGCATGGCGACACTGTTGCAAGCCAAGAACAAATGCGAAATATAATTTCTGACTGCCAGCAGGAAACAGCTGAGTCTGCTTAACGTTGGGCATCTGTCCTGGTGGATGGAAGCACAAAAGTAGTTTCATGGCAAATTTGTTGAGTTTCGAAAAGTACGCGGCTTCCCTTGATTAAAAATTAAAGCAGCTCTCATAATTTTGTGAGCGATTTAGTATTTCTGCTCGAAATGAATTCAAGCACGGAGTGGGCGTGGCAAGCTACGTGCTTTGCATGCATCCGAATGCGTAACTAAACAGTTTGAGATGTGCTGTGTGTGAGCTAAATGCGTGTTGTTATAAATTCAAATCAACTTAGTGCCTGCTGCGTCGGCTGCTGCTTGTGCCGTTCGACATCATCAAATCGATTTGGCCCAGACTGCCCCTCCCTCAGCTCGCCTCCGCGCTGACCTTTAGCCACGCTATAAATTGGTAGTTCGGCCCTTTTTTGCCGCTGGGTTGGCCATTTCGCTTTAGAGCAGCGGCGCGTGGCCAGCTCTTTACAATGTTACAATGTTGGCTTTGCAGATTCAACATGACTTAGTGCCGACTTAAGCGCATTAGGCCCTTCCAAAGCCCAGAAAGTCTTTTAATGTCTTATCTCTGTGTGCAAATAAATAAACGAGCGCCAGCAGCCAGCAGCCAGATGAAACTCCCAATCCCTCATATAAATTTGCATACACGCTTCAATTAGCTAGCTCGTCCACTTGCAGTCGGATCTGTGTATTGGTTAAGCCAGCCGCAAAACACGAAGCTGATTCCAAATCTAATTTAACATAAACCTGGCCATGTTCTCCACACAAAATACACGTCGCTTCCGGTGCTACCGCCGGACTCTGAGTCACTTCCGCTGCGCCTCTGTTCGAAGCTTAACAAGCAAACTTTCGGCCCGACTACGATTTGTATTTGAAGTGCACTCATCTCCCGCGGCGCAATGCCATTACTGACTATGTATTCTCATTTTACAGTTAATATTTCCGCATGCGAATCAAAATGGCGAACAGCGAGTAGGCGAACCTCAGCGTTGAGAAGAAGGTGCTCACGTGTATGGCTAGCATGCCACCGGCCATAGGCGCTGTTCGCTTCAGTGAGCGCTCCACAAACAGCATCAGCTTCCATATATATTATCGGTTGCTTATCATTAGTATACCCATAAAGAACGGTATAAACATTAAGAGTATATTTAAATAGATAGAATAAATAGTGAAGAAATATTCAAATAATGATTTTTTTATATATTTATTTTTTTAGGCTTACAAGAAAATGCTTAATTTCCTGACCGCTTTTGATTTCCATTTACTTATGTCTTTATTACGCATTTAAGTCATGTTTCCGTTCTTACAATTCCAACTCCAAATACCACTCTTATGTATAATTGACTTAAGCTGTTCTATTTCTAGGGCATTTCTTAGTCGATAGCTCTTTGTTTAAATTATTATTTTTTATTTCTTTAAGCATTAATAATTTAAAAGCCAATTATGTTAATCGAAACGAACTGCACTTAGGTGACATTTACTTAATTAGTCGAGAATTTAAGAGGTAAGAGGACATATCATATTATGAGAGTTTTACTCATTATTTGATTTGTGAGTCCAAGCGAGTCTATTTATCTGTATATGTGAGAAGAGCGAATAAATAATCTAAAAAGCATTTATAGGAGCAAAAAAATATTAATAGTAAATCACACTGGAATTAATGAGAATTTTATAGAATATTTATATATAATTTTCAGCAGCTGTCTCAATATTTGATATAAATTATAATTTAATAAAATATTTTCATATTGAATTATGATCAAAAAAAGTAAAAGAATATCTAATGAGAGTTCCAATAGCAATTACAATTATTTTCGCATGCGTATTATAATTGTAAAAAGCGAGTAAGCAAACTTGACTGTGGAGAAGAATGTGTCAACATGAATGCGTAGCATGCCACCAGCTAGAGCTGTGCTCTTCTTCAAGGAGCGCTCCACAAAGAGCATCAGCTTCTTCTTGAAGTTGCGCTGCTGAGTCGTCCAGTTGGAGCTAAAGGCTGAATAATGAAGCTTGCCAAACCAGAACTCACAGTCCGTGCCATAGTAGCAAATGGGAAAGATCTCCAGTGGCATGGACATGGCGTAGAAGAAGAAGTATGTGCGCAGCATGGGCTCGGTAACGAAGAAGAGAAATCCAGCGATGCTGACGCAGATATTCAAGCCAGTCACAGCAAACTGGATGAGCATGGGCAGCGACATGAATGACTCGATTGTCTGATATAGGCTGGAAATAGATAAAGCCATTATTTTAATCAGCCATAGAGATATCTCTCAATGTAGCCTACTCCAGCAGACGCTTGTGATCCGTTATGCAGGCCTCCAGTTGGTGCTCAGCGCCGGCAGCATCGTCCACTCCGACATGCTCAAAGCGCACATAGAGCATCTGAATGTGAGCTGAGACGAGGCACAACACGACGGCGGGAAAACAATCGCTGACATAGTTCTGCATCAGCTGAAAGCCGATGCCCACAATCTGGTAAACGTGCGCAGCATAGAAGCTCGGCGATGAGTTAACCCAGTCAAAGGGAAACCAGCCGGGATACATGAGACCCCGTTCATCCTGAAAGAGGAAGGCCATTTCGGCAAAAACGCCGACTGGCAGATAGATGCCAATGAACACATAGAGAATGTTTCTCAGCTGTGTTCTCAGTCGGCTATAAATAGCTTTCTCCTCCGGTCGCTGGACCCTCCTATCCAGTTGGCCGAGTAGTTCCTCGATTCGCTCAACCTTCTCAAAGTTGTAGGCGTAAAGAGCGTATTTCAGTGAGCAGGCCAGGCAGGTGGCAAATGTCGTCAGATTCAGAATATCATCCGAGAGGTTGGCATTCCGAAACAGCGTCAAGCCCAGATGCAGCGGATACCAGACAGTCACAGACAGATTCAGGATCAGGCTATAGACGAGGTAGAGCCTCTTCCAGTTCGTTTGCTTGTGGGTAACTCCAAGCACTGTCCACACTGTCCAGTGACTTCGGAAGAAACTCACGCTGTTGACGAGCATCGCGCTGTGCTCCTGCGACTCTCCGTTTCTGATTGAGTCATTTGCCTTCGTTTCCCTTTTATAAAGTTTCTGGTAATTACTGCTATGATTACTTAATGAGAATCACACGAACACCAATTATAATAATTACAATTAATATTCAATGCTTATTTTTGGACAGGTGCCAATGTTGTTATACCCTGAATTCATTGATAGCCTTCAATTGAGTGCATAAACCAGGCAGAAGGATACACGACTCTATAAAGCTTATCTATATATTCCTGATCAGAATCATTAGCAACGTAACTATAGCCCTGTATATCTTTCTATCTATCCAAATGTTCATCTATTTGCCAAATAAAAGCAACTTTCATTTCTATTCAATTTAACTTTACATTTCTCTATTATTCGCAATGTTTGCCCTTTTTTCTGCTATCTTTTAGTCCAGCTTTAGCTGGAATATGCAAAGTGAAATGTGTTTTACTCTAATGAGCAGATAAAATGATAGGTAAATGAGATATTTTTTTCACATTTTTGCTTAGTTAACTAAACAAACTGGCTTTGTCTGACAATGCTCTCGAATAGCTTTAATCTAAAGCTGCATTTTTGTTGGTTTGAACATCGAATTCTAAATGAGTTAATGCAAAAAGTGCGCAAGAGTTTAAGCCTATTATGAATGCTTTGCGAGCATTTATTTTAGTCCATTTGAATGCAAAGAGTTACACAGATGACAACTTCACATTGCGTCAACAGTCCAAGGTAAAAAGTGTGAAAAGTTCAACAAGCTAATCTTTGTCTCGAGCTTGATTTGTAGTTGATGTGCATTGATAGCTATTATTTCCTCATGCGGAGCAGAATGGCGAACAGCGAGTAGGCGAACCTCAGCGTTGAGAAGAAGGTGCTCACGTGTATGGCTAGCATGCCACCGGCCATAGGCGCTGTTCGCTTCAGTGAGCGCTCCACAAACAGCATCAGCTTCTTCTTGAAGCTGCGTGCCTGCGTCAGCCAGTTGCAGCTGAAGGCCGCATAGTGCAGCTTTCCAAACCAGAGCTCCACATCCGTGCCATAGTAGCAGGTGGGAAAGATTTGCAGCGGAAGACCGAAGGTATAAAATACGAAATATGCGATAGTGAATGGCTCGCTGACAAAGAAGAGTAGCGCTGCTATACTCGTGCATACATTCACGCCGGTCACAGCGAACTGGATGAGCATGGGCAGCGACATGAAGGACTCCACAGTTTGAAAGAGTCTGCAAGTAAATGAAGTTAATCGAACTCTGCTCGAGCCACACTCGACCGTCACCTACTCCAGCAAGCACTTGTGATCTGTTATACACGCCTCCAGTTGCTGCTCAGCATACAGACTCTTGTCCTCTCCGACTTTTTGAAGGCGTACATACAGCATCTGAATGTGAGCTGAGATCAGGCATAGCATCATCGCGGGAAAACAATCGTTCACATAATTTTGCATTATTTGGATGCCGATTCCCACAATCTGATATACGTGGGCGATGTAATAGTTACGCGATGAGTTCACCCAGTCAAAGGGAAACCAGCCAGGATACATGAGGGCACGTCTTTTCTGAAAGAGGAAGCCCATTTCGGCCAAAACTCCAACTGGCAGATAGATGCCTATGAAGACAAAGAGAATGCCTCTCAGCTGTTTTTTCAGCTGGCTGTAGATGAGCTTCTCTTCCACGGTTTCCACTCTCGAGTCGAGTTGCTTAAGAAGTTGTTCCATTTGCTCGACCTTTTTGAATTTGTACACATAAATGGAGAACTTTAACGAACAAGCTAGACAGGTTGCGAAAATTGAAAGGTTCGTTATGTCATCCGAGAGGCTTTTATTTCGAAACAGTAACAAGCCCAGATGCAGCGGATACCAGACGGTTACCAAAAGGTTCAAGATCAGACTATAGGCAATGTAGAGCCACTTCCAATCCACCTGTGCATGTGTAGCTCCAACTAACTTCCATATGGCCCAGTGGCTTCTGAAGAAACTCAAGCTATTGATGAGATTGTCCGACTTGGCGACGCTTCGATTCATAGTCTTTTGATTGAGCTGTCATTTTGTAGTTCCCTTTTATATGTATGTTAAGAAGGTTTTAGAAAACTATGAGGTAATTATATAATTATAAATATTATTATATTTGGAGCTGGCATGAGTTTTTCAAATACTCTCTGAACTGGCCTTGTAATGAAGAGTATATGAAGCGCTATGTGATAAAAAAATTGTATAGTGAAGTAGCCTCGTCTGCTGCTTGAGCTTATTTCTTTTTCTCACCTAATCATATGGCTTTAATTCTAGGGTATTTCTTAGTCGATGGTTTTACACTTAAGTAATTATTCTTTTTTCTTTTCTTATTTATAATTTAGAAGCTCCTTCCCTGAACCGATAATTGTTATATTATGTTAATTGACTTGAACTATAATTAAACTCGCCTACGTCCAAATAGTCAAGAGTTGAGGTAAAGAGGCTTTATTATGTTATACAAGTTTTATTCATGAAGCAGTGCTTAGCGAGTTGAGTTGTGAGCTTAACTAGAACTGCTTTTTTAGTAGATTACTGAATGGACTATAACGCGGAACTACGAATTCAAATTGAATAAAGGCAGAAAGTGCGCAATGCGTTAAGCCTATTATCAACGCTTTGAGCTAGACGCTTATTCCACTCAAACAATTTGGAATTCATAGAGTTCAGAGTTTCGAATGACAAGTTTACATTGTGACAACGCACAAAGGCTTGTTTATGTTGTGCTGCCATTGTCAGCGGTTGTGGCGCCTGTCACATTTAGAGTCTGTGCTGCGCTCAAAACTATGCTACACAATTAACATGCGCTCATTGTCGATTTTCGCATGTCATTTCCCATTTTCACTACGGCAAAAGTTCTGTCCCTTTTGATAATTTGACGGTTGAATTTGAAAAACTAAAGTATGCAAAGTTCCGGCTGGCTCTGCAATTGCGTTGATGGCATATGCAATTAGCATGTTGCAGACAAACACGAATACACTGACACACACACGCATTTATGCAGTCACAGTTGTGTCAACCAAAAGCATGTTGCAACATTTGGTTGGCGGACGCAATAAATTGTTGCATGCAGTTCAAAATGGCAGTTCGCCAGTAATAAAAAAATACAAAATAAATAAATACTATATGTTATAGACAAACATACACATAAATACATATATATTTATATACACACATATATATATATATATATATATATATGTATATTTATATTTATATTTATATACATATTTATATTTCGCGCTGCCCGATTGCCAAAGCGTGTTCTTAATTAGTGCGACACGTCACTTCCTTTACGTTTTGGCCGTTTTAAACTTGGCTTAAAGCCATTTACAGTGTGTCAGTGCCAAAGAGTTTGTTTGTTTTGCTTGCCTGCTGCAACAACTGAAATTGTATCAATTTTCAGCAGAAATACAATTCCACTCAGTGGCCTTTCTTTGTCATAAAAACTCACAATTGAAACAAGCATAGCACTGCATTGAATTTATACTTAAAAACTAACAAAGAACTAAGAGGGAATTTTAAACAGAAAAAAGTTACAAATGAATTGCATCGACAATGTTACACTTAAAATACTTATTCTTAAAATGGAAATGAATTCATAGAACTATGTCAACTAAAGTTTAAAGATATGTTCAAAGAATTTGAGATGCTTCGAAGTCGATGTTTTCGATCTCTTGAAGTATACATTCACATAGTTGGCAGCAATTTATTTGATAAACCTTAAATGTTATATCAGGGAAATGAGTGAGAAATGCATATGGAAGTCTGCTAGTATTGTAAGTGCGAGAGTTGCTTCTAGTAAGTGTGATGATGTTCGATCGAACTGAAGATATTGCACGAACACAGAGGGCAGCGAGCCTGAGTCTGCGTATGATAAGAGAAGCGGCGACTTGCTGCGTGCTGAGCATGATTAAATAACAGAACATAGAATGAAATCTCATTTGCCTGTAGAGAATGCATTAAAGTCAACTACTGTCCGACATACATAATATATATATAACGATCTAGATCTAGATTATAGAAGATTTTATGAACTGTGATGTAATGAACTGTAATTCAGTAAACTGTTCAGAATTCTATATTCTATTTCTATATTTTTATACAAATTTATTTATTTTAAAAATTAAGACTTTTATTTAATATGAATAAATTTTAAAACTTGAAACTCTCATTAAAATTGTAATTGCTTTTGCTTTCATCGTTTTCAAACTTAACTATAGCTTAACACAAAATAATTATAATATTATATTAGATAAGAAAAAAGATTTGAGCTGCACTGAAATGAGTGAGCTACGGTGATCTATGCTGCACTGCACTGAGTAACCCCCCACAGGTATACGCAGAGCGGATCGATGAGCTACAACAAGTTATGAAGAGCTCTTCGACGCTCTGCTTCTTATCTAATTGGAAAATTCTTCTTCATTCCTTTACCTTAATATAACTTATATATAACTCATTAAACATATTCTCATTACACGTGTCTCAGCATACGTAAAATATCTCTCTATTACCTTACTTTATATTAATAGAAATTTATATTAGTTGCCTAAGCATGCAGAATATATTTTACACTCTGCATTTTCTACAATAACAAATAATGCAGAACACGATTTTATAGCTTAGCAAGCAGGTGGGGCAGCTGCAGGATGCATGTCTAAGCGGAGACAGCAGCTGGCCTAGTGGGCAAAGTGGGCAGCGTTTGCTGTCAGCAAATGAGCTCGACAACAATGTAATTATCATAATTAAAAGGCTGCCCCTGTCCTTAGCTGGCCTTGTCTAACCAGCGCCAAAAAACGGTCACAGCGGCCACAAATTCGCTATTAAAGGCGGCCCCATCGCATGCAACAGCAACAACAACAGCTTGGGCGGGCAGTGGAAGAGGGAGGGCCGCCGACGACTGCTGCTGAGTGCATAATTGAGGCAGTTCCCTAATTGTGGAACGCTGCTCATTAATTGCGTCTGTAACGAAGCTCATTTAGTAGTTTGCTTGCTCGGCCCCACTGCCCCATTTGGGCGCCCTGCAGCCACACTGGCACCCTCGCAGCCCTCGACATACTCGATGCTACCTTCAGCCCGAGTTGCACTGTCTTATTGGACTTGAGGCAGTCACGCTGATTAAATCATAATCCACTTATTGCAGTTGCAATGAGCGCCAGCTCGTCATTGTTGATGCGGCAGCTGCTGCGCTTGCATTAACTTCTTATCAGCTCTTATCAGTGGGATCAATACTCACCACGCCGGACACCCTGCTCAACAGCTGAGCCTCTCCCATCGACGGCGCTGCGCATGCCCTGGAATCAAAGCATTTCAAATAAACAATAAAACATAGCATTTCACTGACTGGAATGATTTGAATTCGAATTCTTGTATTTTAAATTTGATGGTTATGGAGAGTTAAATAGGATTTTGTAGATATGAAAAGATTTAATATGTATGTGTATATATTGAATAAAGAGGTAAGGGAGTGTTGGCCCAAGTATTATTTTATATTTTAACTCCGTTCTTAAATGCTTTCAAGTTTAGTTTGGTTTATGTTCAGTTGAGGCATGAAACGAGAAAGTCAGAGAAAACACTCAGTTGAGTCAAGTTTGTACAACAAGCATGTATACCTAAGAGTCTCCTCTTATGTTTTTAGTTTCATTAAGAGCTAAACTGAATTTCTTAGTTAGTTCACCAGGCCTCATCTTTGTCTATAATAATCATTTGCATCTGAGCTGACAGAATCAGACCCTTGTAAAAGGAAGTTGGTTCTTATGTAAGGTTCAGAGTCTAGTTATAGTCAGATTAAGGGCTGAGCTCAACTTAAGCCTGAAATACAATTAGACAAACTTGTCAGCTTGTCAAAGGCAAGCATTTTGTTTTAGAAACAATTTCCAGATGATGTCTGAATCTGTCAGCTCAGATGCAATCGATTTCAAATGATTATTTCTTTCATACTCCGTAGACGGTTATCACTGTACATAGCTCAGTCTCGATTGCATAGGCCAATAAAGTCTATTTAAATTTACCAAGCAAGAATCAAATTGCATATCCAAACCCTATCAAAACCTCATGTGGCTATGAAATATATTAAAAGCGACAAGCCGACGTTGGCTGTCTTTGGCTGAATGTGGACTTTGCATAGTTATAAAATGGCACAAATAACTTTGACATGTTTTCCTTCAGATTGATGCCTAAAAACAAGACATGACATGCAAAGACTTAGCAGTAAGCCGATATTCTCAATCCTTTAAGCCGATGCACGCAACAGTTTAGTTTTAAGCCAGCAACTTCTTATCACTGGCCAATAACATCGCACTTCCAGTGTAATCAAAAACATCGCCAGCGAGAGCGAGTGAGAGAGAGAGAGAGGGAGCGTGATTCGACGAGCTTACTAACCTGCCTCAATAACAATCCGTGCAACTGCTTTCACTTTTCGGCTTTCAGCCTGCCCCATTGCTCCACAGACCCACAGCCGAGCCGTCGATGCGTTCGTGGCGTTTCGGCTTTGCCGTGGTGAATTTCCGTGCACGAGTCTGGCGCAAACGAATCTCGGACTTGGACTCCGGCCAACGATGTGCAGTACGCTTTGAAACGCGGCGGTTCGTAGTTGTGTGGCAGCTGGAGCATCCAGCGTGGAACTGACAAACAGCCAGAGGCTCAGACCCTCACGGACTACTTCAAAGGCGCGAGACTTTAAAAACCAAATTTCCAAAACGCAGTGAAAGTGAAAAAATATTTTTAAAAAATATTCAAAGATTCTTTTAAAAGAAAAAAAAAAAAAAACAAATATGTATCGTTATGCCCAAAAAATATTAAAATAAAATTAAGCTAAAAATCTCTGAAAATAAACTAAAGAAATTTGTGCTTTATAACTAAAAAAAAAACTATATTGAACGGTGAGTAAATATCTGTGGGAAGAAAAGTAATTGATTAATTATAATAAAAATGTCTTTAAAAAAATATTTATAAAGGGCAAACGTTGATAAGATTTAAGCCGATCCGCCTCAATAGCGCCGCGTTCACTTAAGCCT